TTTCTCTTTTCTTTTCTTTTTTTTCACTTCCCCTTCTTTCCTTCCTTCCTTTTTATTGACTTTAGAGAAAGTTGAAAGGAAAGGGAAAGAGAAAGAAACAGACTGGCTGCCTCCTGCATGCCTGGCACTGGGGATTGAGCCTGCAACCCTGGCAGGTGCCCTGACCTGGAATTAAACCTGTAACCTCTAGGTGCACTGGATGACGCCCAACCAACTGAGCTAGATTTTTTTTAAGAGCAATTAGAAGTCACTGAGATGCAGGGGGAGGAGACTGGGGATGCAGGAATCACATTTGCATTTTGAAAGGTCACTCTGGCTGCAGTGTGAACATCTTAGAAAGTAATTTCTGCTTTGCAAATCCAATAAGCAGGCTTACTATTCAGTTACAGGAAACAGAAGCTGGAGCCTTACAGCCAGATCTGAGTTTGAATCCCAGGTACATTTCCACCATGGCCTTGGGCAAGCCAGCTTTTTAGAGCCCAGTTAGCTCAAATATAAAATGGGATGATAATACCTCCTTCTGTCTCGTTGTGAGGGTGAGGTAATTAAAGTTAATAAGTAATCTTGCTTGACTTTGATATTATACGGCATGAAACAACCAAAATTCAGTCATATGGCCTTTCAACTCTGCTTGACTTCACTTGAACTTCACCTTAGAAATACCTTCTCCCACTTCTTTGAAATAAGAACAACACAATAATAAAGCAACTGCTTGTACAAGGTGCTGCAGTCATGCCTCCTGGCTTGGGCATTTATCAGATGACAAGACCATGGAGAAGTGAACAAGCCAAAAACATACAAATGACAAGTGAGCTTTGTAAGTATAAAAACAAAGAAGTAAGCCATTGGCTGTTTGATAAGTGGATGTGTTGGTGATGAATAAGTGACTGCCAGTATCTTATATTTAGCCAGAGTGGGGCTGGTGGTTCAGTCTAGAATTGGACATTTCTCATTTCCTAAATAGCCCAGGGCCCTGCTATAGTGACATTCCAGTTGATGGTAAGTCAAGAGTGTTGCCCAAAAGACTCAAGAGTCAACCTTAAGAGGCTCTTGTTGGCCAGTGATAAGACAATGTGAGCACAAAGGATATGAAACACATCAAATGGGTTGAAATTCTTGAGTTTATAATGACACTGAAAAAAAAAATGGTAATCACTATTGCAAGGTGATACGAAACCAATATGAAACCTGTATTCTAATCCTACTTTCCCATTAACCAGCTGAGTGACCTGGAAACTTCCCTCTCTGGTTCTGAGGGGCAGACAGGGTTTCTAACATCCTGCAGGCTGTGGATTCTTACAATGATTAAGAGATTTGGGTCCTGCAGCCTGACTGTCTGGGTTGGAATCTTAGTTATCCCATATGTATCCTTGGGATATACATTGAGTGGCCAGATTATTATGATCTCTGAACACATAATAATCTGGCCACTCAGTCTGTGTTTCTATGTGTCTGTGTGTGTGTATATATATATTAGCTGTCCCCAGCCACACATTGCTGTGGCTCAGTCTGATTAAATGGAAAAGAAAGAAAAGAGGTCCCGGGTTCGATTCCGGTCAAGGGCATGTACCTTGGTTGCGGGCATATCCCCAGTAGGGGGTGTGCAAGAGGCAACTGATCGATGACTCTCTCTCATCGATGTTTCTAACTCTCTATCCCTCTCTCTTCCTCTCTGTACAAAATCAATAAAATATATTTTTTTTAAAAAAAAAAGAGAAAGAAAAGAGAAAGTGCATGTTTCTAATATGTTTACTTTCACAATGCTTGTAAGTATACAGTATTTTTTGTTGTTTCATTGTCTGTGCAGATACAGAGATTGTCTGGTTTGCCGACACTAGAACACTTAACACGTGTAATTGTCCTTGTGAGGCCGCACAATTCTAAAGATTGGCCCTGAGCTTTGTTGATGGTGATTGCAAACGCCAATCGAATGGGGAATTGCAATCTCTTAAATTGAAATGGCATATCTGTTGGAATCATAAGAATGCAAGGAATGAGGACATCTTCACCTTTGAAAGGTCCTGTAAAGATTGTTGCTTCTATGACGTTGCTCATTAATTTTTGTACTGCAAGCCACGTGCCGTTGCAAAGCATTGGCTGGTTGATATTTCGCAACATGATAATTGGCACGCTGATTTTCAGTTGCAGTACGTGCGGTGGCATCCCTGGCAGATCGAGTGAATTCAAAAATTCTGTTGGATAATTAACTGCTTCATCTGCTTCCACAACAGTGTCGATGGACTTGTATGCGACTGCCTTGCTTTGAATGTTAGACTGAATAATATTGTTAAGTTCATAGACATCTTTGTTCTTGGCTGCAAGAATAGCTCATTCACTCAGCCAATCATGATTCGTTTGAATATTGGGAAATACTGTTTCAACCAATTCTTCTTTTGACGTCACTAAATTGCAGAAGTTATGAGGCAATGAAATTTGTCCTGAGGTCAGATCAACCGACACCTTTCTGTTCCCAATTTCCCGCAATCCATGTGAGAATATCTCAGCTGATCAATTGTTTTGCAGCTGGACACGCATATTTGTAGTTAATTTTAACATCTTTATGTGTTACCACAAAGTGGAATATTTCAGGCAAGCATTTATTTTGTCCGCTGGTGTGGATCGAGGAATTACAGGTAATGTTTGCCTGAAATCTCCTGCAAGCAATATTAATGCATTCCCAAAGGGTCTGATGTTTCCACAAAAATCTTGCTCTGATCGATTAAGAGCCTCGAGCGTTTTTTTTCGTGCGCCATTGTGCATTCATCCCAAACGATAAGTTTGCATTTCTTCAATACCTTTGCTTTGCCAGATGCTTTGGAAATGTTGCACGTGGGAGTTTCAATGCATTGCATGTTCAATGGCAATTTCAAAGTAGAATGAGTTCTTCCACCTGGTAGCAATGTTACAGCTATTCTGGACAACACAAGAGCTAAGGCTATGTCATTTTGGGATTGAATTGCTGCCAGAATCAATCTAATTAGGAACGTTTTACCAGTTCCTCTTGGCTCATCTAAGAAGACGATTTCTCCAACCCCACTACTGACAGTTTGCTTTACTTGATCATAAATGCCTTTTTGCTCAAGTGTTAGCTTAGGAATATTTGATTGCACACACGACAAAAGATCACCCATGTTGTAATTTTGTTCATGACACAATTCTACATCTAGCAAAGCAGCAGCAGATCGATTCAGTGATGGCATTCTCAATTGATTTGAGAACTTTGTTTGCGATTTCTAAGCACAAACTTCAATCATTATCAACATTGAAATGGAGTTGTAAAGTTGGAAATTTGGGAATCGTAAATGGATTGTAAATCAGAAACATTGAAATGGAATCGTAAAATATTTAGTACAGCATGTGTTGCTTTTACACCCAACAGATGGCGCCGTTTTTCAAAAAAGCATGTTTTTACCTGTCACAGGTGTGACATCTATATAATAGTAGGTATAAAGTATATAAAAACACGTGTGTGTTTGAATGCAATGTTGTCTCAAAATTTCAAAGCAATCAGTGAAGAACTTTCTGAGATTTAAGATTTTGAACAAATGAACATTTACTACATTTTTATTTATATAACGTAGAGACCCAGAGACCCGGTGCATGAATTCATGCATGGGTGTTGTCTGGCCAGCCTGGTCAGAGGGAAGGGACAATGGGCGGTTGGCTGGCCTGCCTGCTGGTCGAATTCCTGGTCGAGGAGATAATTTGCATATTAGCCTTTTATTATTTAGGAGGATATACACTGAGTGGCCAGATTATTATGCGTTCAGAGATCATAACAATCTGGCCACTCAGTGTATATCTGGATTTTGTAAAACGTAACAAATGCTTACTTTAAAGGGTTCCTGTACTGGATGCAATCTGTAAACATTGAACACATAGCCTCGGGCTCAGTGTGGGTGAGCTGTTTGGAGCCTAAAGGTAGATTTCCAGATAACACATAGTACAAATAAGAAGCAGGGTTTCAAATAGCTAAAAGTGTGAAGAAAACACCTCACAGCAAATTTATGGAGAGTAACTTTCCAGGAAGGTGGGCTGCAACCTTAAATTGGTTGACTGGGCTGAGGGTAGTTGCCTGCCTTGGAGGCAGGTGTGATGCAACCTTCCAAGTGATTCTCAGCTGATTCCATCTCCCTCTCCCACGGTTCCCTATTTGGCAATGTCCTGGGGTTTTGGGTTGCCACAACTGTGGGAGAGGTCCTTCAGGCATCTGGTGGGTAAAGGACAGAGCTGCTGCTCAGTATCCTACAATGCATAGACCTCCCACACATCAAAAATGACCGAGCTCAAATGTCAATAGTGGCAAGTTTAGAAACCCTGATATAGAGAGAACAGCAAGGGTAGCAAAGGTAAGGGTTCTGAGCCAGAAGGGAGTTTGCTGAGGTTAGGGTGCAGATGGAAATCCAGTGTAGATGAGTTAACCAGGAGGAAGTGATGGAGGTTGGGCTAGAATGCTTTTTAGGGCACAGTGTGGACCCTGGAATTATCTCCAAAGCAGTGAGCAGCTTTTGAAGAGTTTTAAGTAGGGGAGGAAGGTAACCCATGTAATGCGCAATGTATATCTAAGAACTTAAATACATATACATACATACATACATATATATACATACATACACACACACACACACACACACACACATATATATATAATTGATTTCAGAGAGGAAAAGAGAAGGAAAAACATCAATGATTAGAATCATTGGTTGGCTGTATCCTGCACGCCCCCTACTGGGGATCGAGCCCACAACCCCGGCATGTATCCTTGACCGGAATCGAACCCAGAATCCTTCAAGTCTGCAGGCGGATGCTCTATCCACTGAGCCGGACCGGCTAAGGCAAATAACTGAGTATTATCATCATCCCTTGTGTATGCTCCCTGCTTGGCCCCAGCCAGAATCCGGGTCTCAGCGTGGCCGCAGTGACTCCTCCTGGCCAGCAGGGGGCGCCAGCCGCACTTGGCGTCCGGCCGCTCGGGGCGGGCCTCCTCTTGCCGTCCCCCTCTCTCTCGTCTTCTCCCTTCTGGAGAAGTCGGGAAGGTGGCAGCGGCGGCGGCGGCGGCGGCGGTTGTCCCGGCCGGGCCGGTTGGTGTGGCCGCTCAGTCCGCGCTCCTCAGCGCCCGCGCCGCGCCCAGCCCCGTGGACTCGGGCGGCGGCGGCGGCGGCGGCGGCGGCGGGCGGCCCGGAGCGCGGCGCGCGCTGCCGGAGGGCGGCGGCCGCGGCCAGGGCGGCCCGTGGGAGCGCGGGGCCCCGGCGCAGCGCCGCGCGGCTCCCGGCCCTGCCGGCCTGCTCCCCGGGCGCCGCGGCCATGGCGGCCAGCGCCAAGCGGAAGCAGGAGGAGAAGCACCTGAAGATGCTGCGGGACATGACCGGCCTCCCGCACAACCGAAAGTGCTTCGACTGCGACCAGCGCGGCCCCACCTACGTGAACATGACGGTGGGCTCCTTCGTCTGTACCTCCTGCTCCGGCAGCCTGTGAGTGGGGCGGCGGCGGCGGCGGCGGCGTGGGGAGGCCCGCCGGGCCGGGGCTGGGGCTCCGGGCGGCGGGGCGGCCGTTGGGGCGCGGGCGGGCGGGCGGCCGCTGGGATGCGCTCGGTCCCGGCTCCGGGCCGGGAGGAGCTTTCGCTTTCGCCGGGCGGAGGTCCAGGCTGGTGCAGCCTCCGGGCTTGGGGGTGGGCGGGCTGCGGGGCGGAGGTCGGGGCGCCCGGGGCGAGCGTGTCCGGGGCCCGGCTCCTGGGGGCGCTGGCCGGGCCGCGGCGGGGGAAGGCCGGGGCGAGGGGCCGGGGGCGGGCGTGCTGGACCCGAGTGCCCCGCCCCTCGGCGGCCGGCCCGGCGAGGCACCTGCAGGGCCGCCCGAGCGGGTTGTGGGGAGCCGGGGTGGGAGCGGCAGGCCGGGGGGACCCCCTTCCCCCCGCGGGTCCAAAGCCCCCGAGTCCCTGGGAGAAGGCTGGCACTTAGATAGGAATAGTCACAAGATTCAAACGTCCCGATGGCACGGGCGCGGGTCCCGAGGGGAAAGTTGGGGAGGCTTATTTCGGGCGAGGGAGGAGAGACTCGCAGCCGATGCAGGGTGGAAGGGCTTGGCTGGAGCGTCAGGGTCCAAAGAGCGTCCCGGGCAGTTTGGGGAAAGTTTCGATGGGAAGAAGCCATGGCCCCGAGCTGTGTCCTTCCAGACCCGGTTGTGGGGTCCGCGCGGCTTCCCTGCCAAGGCCCGAGAGTCCCGGCCGGGACCGGGACCGGGACCGGGACCAGACCGGGACCGGGGAGGCGGAGAGGGACATTGTGGCAGAAACGCGGAGGCCACCGTTTGGACTTACTGGGGGCGGGTGGCATTGGTTTATCTCTGCTTCAGTAAGCTTTATTTTGGTAAGATTCTTTGTAGCTGGGAAATTCCTTTTTGGAAAAGTGTGCAGATGGTTTGGGAACTGATCAGTTGCTTTTATGCAGCGATTACGTATAGATTCAAAGTTAAGTTAATGGACGGAGTAGGGCTTACTAAATGCTAAGAGCTTTATTGTCCCAAAACACCTCGTTTTTTTCATTTGTACTGTCCTTCCAAGTAATTTGATTACTCCCCTCTCTCCAACTTAAACACACATCCACCCACACACACACAACCTTTGTAATATTAATACCGAGACAAAGTACATGGCATATGAGAAAACATTTGGAAAATGCAGGACATGTCCTGTAGTGTACGACTTACTTTTTTTTTTTAAGTTGGGCACCAAGAGGCATTATTAGTCTTCCAAGACTGTTATTTCTTCAACCAACATTTACTGATGCCTTCCTAGGCTCTGTGTGAAGGGGTGTCTTATAAATATAACAAAATTCTTGTTCTTTTGGTGCTTACATTCTAGTGGGGGAAATGGTAATTAGATGAGAAAAATGTCAGGGGTTAGTATGCACTAAAATAGTATGATAGGAGAGACCTCCTCTGAGAGTTACTTTCAGGTTGTAGTCAGGGGAGCCCTGAGAATTTGACAAGTAGTGATATTACTGAGTTACCCCAGCATGGGAGAGCTAGAGTGGTATCTGAGATTGTCTGGTTCATGATTGTCACTTGCAGATAGTTAAGTGACTTATGTTGGGCAACTTTGGTTCTAAAAATGAAGTCAGTAGTCCAGTTTTTTAAGTGTATTTGACATTTATTATGTGCATAAGTATGTCTTTTACTAAACACAAGGTCCCTTGATATATATTTTATAGGAAAGATTTTTAAAAATATATATATTTTATTGATTTTTTACAAAGAGGAAGGGAGAGAGATAGAGAGCTAGAAACATCGATGAGAGAGAAACATCGACCAGCTGCCTCTTGCATACCCCCCACCAGGGATGTGCCCGCAACCAACGTACATGCCCCTTTCAGTCCGCAGACCGATGCTCTACCACTGAGCCAAACCAGTTTTGGCAGGTCCCTTGATAATATTTTAAGTATTTGGTTTGAAAAATATATGTATTTACTCTTCTGGATTTTGACATTTCTTTGTAGCCCTTTATAAGTATAGTGGGGAACATTTAATTTATTGCAGCGAATGCATAAAATCAAGAAGTATTTACAAATTTCTTTCTAGATTCCATGTCTCAAAAGCATTCTATATAAAAGTATACATCAGTGTAATGACAATTGCTTATTTTATTTTTATTATTTTTTTAATATCTTTTATTGATTTTTTACAGAGAGGAAAGGAGAGGGACAGAGAGTTAGAAATATCGATGAGAGAGAATCATCGATCAGCTGCCTCTTGCACACCCCCTACTGGGGATGTGCCGGCAACCCAGGTACATGCCCTTGACCGTAATCGAACCCAGGACCCTTCAATCTGCAGACGGATGCTCTATCCACTGAGCCAAACCGGTTTTGGCACAACTGCTTATTTTAGTGGGGTTTAATCTATAATAGATAGTGCTTCAGATCTGTGTTTAGTGTTAATTCCACAACCTATTTATTGGACACTTGGCCTGTGTCAGACATCGTGGGAGGCATTGGTGTTAGGTGGATCCTCTAATCCTTAAGGGGCTTGCATTCTAAGTACAGTATATACGTTTAGTTATAATACAATATAACATTTCCTTTCTTTGAATGAGCTACTCATGAAATATGTAAGTGATAGAGAAAATTTCATAGAGGACTTGATGCTTGAGCAAAAACCTCCAAATCCAAGATCCATTTGGCAGGTAGGTCCATGGAGTTGATAGAACAGGTATTGATGAGCTATATAAACCTGGTTTTGAATCCTAGCTCCACCACTAGCTATGTGGTATAGAGAGTGCCACTCAGTCTCTTTGAACTTGAGTTTCCTCCTCTATGAAATAGTTTGCCCTGTAGGTTTTGGATGTAGATTAAGTTTCAACATTTGAGATAATGTGTCTAACATTTCATACAATGTCTAGTTCATGATAGATGCTCACTAAATGAGAGGCATTGTTAACAAGATGGAGAGGAAATTTCTCAGGTAGGAAACAATATATAGGAAAGACATCAAAATGAAAATAACTTTATAAAAATCAGTTTTGACTTTTTAGATATAACTCAGATTGGTTTAAAAATATGAAGGGGATTATTGTTTGGTTTTAAGTAAGACTTTATCTAATGACTTAATGAGGTTGCCTAGATTTCCCTCGTCCAAAGATGGCTGCCTTGAGCTCCTGAAGCTGCATACTGTCCTTCTGGTCCGGACATTCTGCAGTTCACTCCTGGTTAGCTTAACAAGTGCCTTTATTGGACACCTGTTCTAAGCTGACTTCATTGGAACTACTACGAGGATCCCCAAATAGAATTCCCAAGTCAGAAATCTGGTATTCTTGGGAAGGAGGGAATGGATGCTGGATCAAATGTCTACTGCAGAAATATTGAAGGGACAGTAAGTTTCTGAGGATTTTTTTTCCTTTCAAAATCAATAATGCAGGAAAATAATTTAAGGGTAACATAACTATTGAATTTAATAATAATTAAATATTTATTATTTAGATGACTAGGCATAATTGAAAGAATGTGAATTTTGAAGTCAGATTTCTTACACCTCTGCTAGCTTTATGACTTAGGGCAAGTATTAACCAGGCCATAATATCTGTAAATTGGCCTGGAGCCATCTCTCAGTCTCAGTTTCTTCATTTGTGGTAACAAGGTGATAGAAAGTTGCTATGAGGATGAAATGGTACAATTCTTAAAATATTCATTGAACACATACTAAATGTGAGGGCACAGCTTAAATAGTAGATATAAAAAGGGGTGGGCAAAAGACAGATACTATATGGGAAATCCTATAAAATAAAAGGCTAATAATAGGCTAATATACAAGTTGACCTAACAGTGGAAGGACCGGTCGCTATGATACACACTGACAACCAGGGGGAAGACACTCAATGCAGGGTTGGGGAGCCTGCTCAGCCAGAAGCTGGGCTCATGACTGGCGAACACAGCAAGTGGTGGGAGCCCTTCCCACCTCCACGGCAGTCAGACTGGGCTGAGGGATGTCCACCAGGCCTTTAGTAGTACAATTAGCCTATCTAATAAAAGAGTAACATGCAAATTAACCATCACCCCACCACGCCCACCAGCCAGACCCACAAGCCAATCAGGAGTGTGTATGCAAATTAACCCAACCATGATGGATACGGCCAAGGAGAGAGCAGGAGGGAGGCTTGGGTTTCTCCGGCTATGGAGGAAGCCAAGCTTTCCACACACCCTGGCCGGGCCAGGCTTCTGCTTAAGTCTACAAAGTTGCAATTATTGAAGATAAGTAAATCCCAACAAAAATAGCGGCAACCACGGAGCTATAGAGAGCAGGAGGCTAGGGTTGCCCCTGGCAATGGAGGAAGCCACGCTACTGCAGCCCTGACCGGACTAGACCTCTACTCCAAGCTACAAAGTTTGAATTATAGAAGATAAATAAATCCCAACAGAAACACTTCTATTACAACCAATAATAAAACATTACCTTCCTATTAAATACTTAATTTTAGCCCAAATTGTTTGTTTTGTGTAGACTAACATTAGTATAATCAGTGAATAATGTAAGAATTGTTCTGTCCTTAAAAAATGATTCATAGCCCTGGCAGGTGTTGTTCAATGGTTAGAGTGTCAGCCTGTGAACTAGAGGGTCTCGAGTTCAATTCCCAGTCAAGGGCACTACCTGGGCTGTGGGTTCACTCCCTAGCTTTGGTCAGGAGCATGCAGGAGGCAATCAATTGATGGCTCTCTCTCACATGGAAGTTTCTTCCTCCCTTCCACTTTCTGTTGAGAAAAATATCCTAGAGCGAGCATTAACAACAACAAAATTATTCATTAATCTTTCAGAACGTGTTTAAATAAAATAAATAACATTTGAGAAATATATAGTTTGTTTTGTTTCTCTTAATACCAACTATTTTATTTGGACAGTACATTTAATCTTGGAATTTTACTGGTGAATAAATGTAGCTGGTTATTAATTTTGTGTGCATTTTGTTTTATGGTGAATCTTGCAAGAA